GGTTTGGAGGCACTGGAGGCATCTGTGGAAGTTGGGGACACTGGTTCCACCATTTTTGGTGGCATTTGGAAGCATCTAGGGAGGCTGGAGACACTCGTCACCAGGTTTGGTGGCTCTGGAGGCATCTACAGAGCTTGGGGACAGGTTGGGGACACTGGTTCCACCAGGTTTGGTGACATTTGGGGGCATCTAGGGAGGTTGGGGACACTTGTCTCCAGGTTTGGTGGCATTTGGAAGCATCTCTGGAGGTTGGGGACACTCGTCACTAGGTTTGGTGGCTCTGGAGGCATCTCTAGAGGTTGGGGACACTGGTTCCACCAGGTTTGGGGGCATTTGGAGGCATCTACGGAGGTTGGAGACACTCATCACTGGGTTTGGTGGCACTGGAGGCATCTCTGGAGGTTGGGGACACTTGTCTCCGGGTTTGGTGGCATCTGGGGAGGTTGGGGACACTCGTCACTAGGTTTGGTGGCATCTCTAGATGTTGGGGACACTGGTTCCACCAGGTCTGGTGGCATTTGGAAGCATTTAAGGAGGTTGGAGACACTCACCACTAGGTTTGGTGGCTCTGGTGGCATGTACAGAGCTTGGGGACACTGGTTCCACCAGGTGTGGGGGCATCTCCGGAGGTTGGGGACACTTGTCTCCAGGTTTTGTGGCATCTGGGGAGGTTGGGGACACTGGTTCCACCAGGTTTGGGGGCATTTGGAGGCATCTACGGAGGTTGGAGACACTCATCACTGGGTTTGGTGGCACTGGAGGCATCTCTGGAGGTTGGGGACACTTGTCTCCGGGTTTGGTGGCATCTGGGGAGGTTGGGGACACTGGTTCCACCAGGTCTGGTAGCATTTGGAAGCATTTAAGGAGGTTGGAGACACTCACCACTAGGTTTGGTGGCTCTGGTGGCATGTACAGAGCTTGGGGACACTGGTTCCACCAGGTGTGGGGGCATCTCCGGAGGTTGGGGACACTTGTCACTGGGTTTGGTGGCTCTGGAGGCATCTCTGGAGGTTGGGGACACAGGTTCTACCAGGTTTGGTGGCACCTGGGGGCATCTAGGGAGGTTGGGGACACTCATCACTAGGTTTGGGGGCATTTGGAAGCATCTAGGAAGGTTGGGGACACTGGTTCCACCAGGTTTGGTGACATTTGGGGGCATCTAGGGAGGTTGGGGACACTTGTCTCCAGGTCTGGTGGCATTTGGGGGCATCTCCGGAGGTTGGGGACACTTGTCGCCGGGTTTGGTGGCACTGGAGGCATCTGTGGAAGTTGGGGACACTGGTTCCACCATTTTTGGTGGCATTTGGAAGCATCTAGGGAGGCTGGAGACACTCGTCACCAGGTTTGGTGGCTCTGGAGGCATCTACAGAGCTTGGGGACAGGTTGGGGACACTGGTTCCACCAGGTTTGGGGGCATCTAGGAAGGTTGGGGACACTTGTCTCCAGGTCTGGTGGCATTTGGGGGCATCTCCGGAGGTTGGGGACACTTGTCTCCAGGTTTGGTGGCATCCACCAGGTTTGGGGGCATCTCCGGAGGTTGGGGACACTTGTCGATAAGTCTGGAGGCATCTCTAGATGTTGGGGACACTGGTTCCACCAGGTTTGGGGGCATCTCCGGAGGTTGGGGACACTTGTCACTGGGTTTGGTGGCTCTGGAGGCATCTCTGGAGGTTGGGGACACAGGTTCTACCAGGTTTGGTGGCACCTGGGGGCATCTAGGGAGGTTGGGGACACTTTTCTCCAGGTTTGGTGGCATTTGGAAGCATCTCTGGAGGTTGAGGACACTGGTTCCACCAGGTTTGGGGGCATTTGGAAGCATCTCTGGAGGTTGGGGACACTGGTTCCACCAGGTTTGGGGGCATCTGGGGGCATCTAGGGAGGTTGGGGACACTTGTCTCCAGGTTTGGTGGCATCTAGGGAGGTTGGGGACACTTGTCTCCAGGTTTGGTGGCATTTGGGGGCAGCTAGGGAGGTTGAGGACACTGGTTCCACCAGGTTTGGGGGCATTTGGAAGCATCTAGGGAAGTTGGGGACACTTGTTGCTGGGTTTGGTGGCACTGGAGGCATCTCCAGAGGTTGGGAACAGCGGTCCCACCAAGTCTGGTGGCATCTATGGAGCTTGGAGACACTTGTCACCAGGTTTGGTGGCATCTGGGGAGGTTGGGGACACTTGTTGCCAGGTTTGGTGGCACTGGAGGCATCTCCAGAGGTTGGGAACAGCGGTCCCACCAAGTCTGGTGGCACCTATGGAGCTTGGAGACCCTTCCCACCAGGTCTGGTGGCGTTTGGTGGCATCTCTGGAGCTTGGGGCTGGTTGGTGATGGTGGTGTCCCCCCCCAGGCCCCATGGCTGGTGTGGGGACACCGGTGGTGGCCCCTGGTGACGGTGGTGTCCCCCCAGGTCCCCTGCCACCCCCCAAGACCCTGCAGCAGCTGGAGCTGCCCCTCCTCAGCCTGCGCCGCTGCCGCTGCCTCTACGCCCGGGGAGGGGACACGGTGGGGACACCCGCGGGGGACACGCTCTGCGCCGGGCTCCCCCAGGGACAGCGCGACGCCTGCCAGGTGGGTGACCCCCCCTTGGTCACCTCCAGCTCCTCCCGTGGCCATCGGGTCCTTCTTGGTCCTGGTGGCACCTCCCCAACCCACCTCCAGCTCCTCCCATGGCCATCGGGTCCTTCATGGTCTTGGTGGCACCTCCCCAACCCACCTTGAGGTCTTGCCATGTCCTCCATGGTCATGGTATCATCTCCCATCCCACCTCCAGGTCCTCCCATGTCCTCCATGGTCATGGTGTCACCTCCCCTGTCCCACCCCCAGGTCCTCCCATGTTCTCCATGGTCCTGGTGTCACCTCTGTCACCTCCTCTGTCCCACGTTGAGGTCTTGCCATGTCCTTCATGATCATGGTGTCACCTCTGTCACCTCCCCTGTCCCACCTTGAGGTCTTGCCACGTCCTCCATGGTCCTGGTGTCACCTCTGCCACCTCCCCTGTCCCACCTCCAGGTCCTCCCATGTCCATCAGGTCCTTCCTGGTCCTGGTGTCACCTCCAGGTCCTCCCACGTCCTCCATGGTCATGGTGTCACCTCCAGGTCCTCCCATGTTATCTTTGGTCCTGGTGTCACCTCCCCTGTCCCACCTCCAGGTCCTCCCATGTCCTCCATGGTCCTGGTGTCACCTCCCCTGTCCCACCTCCAGCTCCTCCCATGTCCATCAGGCCCTTCCTGGTCCTGGTGTCACCTCCAGGTCCTCCCATGTTCTCCATGGTCCTGGTGTCACCTCCAGGTCCTCCACGGTCCTGGTGTCACGTCCCCATGACCCCCCTGTTTCTCCTCCCCCCAGGGCGACTCGGGGGGCCCCCTGTCCTGCCGCTTGGGTGGCCGGTGGCTTCTTGGGGGGGTGGTGAGTTGGGGGGAGGCCTGTGGGCTCCCGGGGCGCCCCGGGGTCTACACGCGCCCGGCCGCCCACATCTCCTGGATCTTGGCCACCGTCCCCGAGGCCACCATCACCCACCCCCCGCCGGCCACCACCACCCCCAAAGAGGAGGAGGAGGAAGGACCTTGCCCTGAAGAAGAAGGTGGTGGGACAGGACCTCCCCTCACTTGGCCCCGGCCGCTGCCACCCCAAGGTGCCCCCAACGGTGGCCACCGGGCTACTGGCCACCACCTGCTGCTGCTGCTGGGGGTCCTGCTGCCCCTCGGCCTCCGCTGAGACACCCCCCCAGAGCCAAAAATGACTCACTGGACCCCAAAAATGACTGATGGGGCCCCAAAAAATGACCCATGGGGAGGGACACGCACACACACACCCCAAGTTGGAGCCCAAGGTGGGTACCCCCCGCCGGCCACCACCACCCCCAAAGAGGAGGAGGAGGAAGGACCTTGCCCTGAAGAGGAAGGAGGTGGTGGTGGTGGGACAGGACCTCCCCTCACCTGGCCCCGGCCTCTACCACCCCAAGGTGCCCCCAACGGTGGCCACCGGGCTACTGGCCACCACCTGCTGCTGCTGCTGGGGGTCCTGCTGCCCCTCGGCCTCCGCTGAGACACCTGAGACACCAAAAATGACTCACTGGACCCCAAAAATGACTGATGGGGGCCCAAAAAATGACCCATGGGGAGGGACATGCACACACACACCCCAAGTTGGAGCCCAAGGTGGGTGATGGCACCCAAAAGCGGCTGGTGGCACCCCAAAAATGACTCCCCCGCACCCCTGGAATGGATGGTGGCACCTCCCAAGGTTCCTGGCAGCCCAAGGGGGTCCATGGCTCCCTCAAGGAGGATGGTGGAACCCCATCCCCACATCTGGGATGGACCACGGCACCCAAGATGGTTGGTGGAACTCCATCCCGACATCCAGGATGGACCACGGCACCCAAAAACGACTCATCGCACCCCAACTCGGCACCCAGGATGGACCACAGCACCCCAAGGAAGATGATGGAACCCCATCCTGACATCCAGGATGGACCACGGCACCCAAGATGGTTGGTGGAACCCCATCTTGACATCTAGGATGGACCTCGGCACCCAAAAACGACTCGTTGCACCCCAACTTGGCACCCAGGATGGACCACAGCACCCAAAACCAACTCATGGCACTCACAACTTGTCACCCAAGATGGTCCACGGCACCCCCAAGAGGGCTGGTGGCACCCAGGATGGACCACAGCACCCAAGATGGTTGGTGGAACCCCATCTTGACATCTAGGATGGCCAATGGCACCCAAAAACAACTCGTTGCACCCCAACTCAGCACCCAGGATGGACCTTGGCACCCAGGAGGGCTGGTGGAACCCCATCTCAACAACCAGGATGGACCACGGCACCCAAGATGTTTGGTGGAACCCCATCTTGACATCTAGGATGGCCAATGCCACCCAAAAACGACTCATTGCACCCCAACTCGGCACCCAGGATGGATGACAGCACCCGAGATGTTTGGTGGAACCCCATCCCGACAACCAGGATGGACCACGGCACCCAAGATGGTTGGTGGAACCCCATCCCGACATCCAGGATGGACCATGGCACCCAAAACTGACTCGTTGCACCCCAACTCGGCACCCAGGATGGACCACAGCACCCGAGATGTTTGGTGGAACCCCATCTTGACATCGAGGATGGACCACAGCACCCAAAAACGACTCATTGCACCCCAACTCATCACCCAGGATGGACCACAGCACCCTGGAGGGCTGGTGGAACCCCATCCTGACATCCAGGATGGACCACAGCACCCAAGATGGTTGGTAGAACCCCATCCCGACGTCCAGGATGGACCTCAGCACCCAAAAACGACTCGTTGCACCCCAACTCGGCACCCAGGATGGACCACAGCACCCGAGATGTTTGGTGGAACCCCATCCCGACGTCCCCAATTGCCAAGAGCACCCAACACCGACTCATGGGACCCCCAAATTGCCACCCAGGAGGGTTTGTAGCACCCACCGCCACCTTGGGCCCCCCCAACTTGGCCCCACACACCCCCCAATAAACCACGCAAGCGCCCTGTCACCTCCTTTATGGGTGCTGGGACAGGGGGTGGGGTGGGGGAGCCCCCCAAGTCCTGGTGGGTCCCGTGGGGTGGGGAGAGGCTGAGCCCGGCCACAACTCGCCGCAGCGATGACCTCCTGGTCACTTCTTGGCCACCTTGGCCTGTTTGTGCTTTGGGGGCGCCCAGCGTAGGCAGATGGAGTCCACTTGTGGGGTGGGAGAAGAAGACAGTTATGGGGTGAGGAAGAGGGGGGAGGGGTGGGGGTTGGTTAATTAAGAGGGGAGGGGTTAACGAGGTACCGGTGATGGGGGGCTTCTTGTACTGGGCGCTCTTGAGGTGCTCCTCCACCAGCTTGGGGGTGACGCAGATGACGTGTTGTCCCTTCCAGTACTTGACCATGTTGAGGGACTGGAGGGTGCTGATGATGTCCGTCTGGGTGATGCTGGTCATCTGGCTGCGGGGGACGGACTGGGGGTGACTGGGAGGGACTGGGAGAGACTGGGAGGGACTGGGGGGTCAGGGAAGGACCTTCCTGGTCTGACTGGGAGGCTCCTGGTGACCACCCGATGGGGAGGTTGGCCAACAAGTTCCTCAGGTTCTCCAGTAGGATGTGTCATTCCATGTTACTGGGATGACTGGGGGGTTTACTGGTCTTACTGGGGGGTTACTGGTCTTACTGGGAGGCTCCTGGTGACCACCTGAGCTCCCTGATGGAGAAGTTGGCCAACAAGTTCCTCAGGTTCTCCA